CGGGCCAATTCACAGACGATTACGTGGAACGCGCAGGCCCTCTTCGCCACGGACCCCTCCCGGCATGCTGCGAAGAGCGCCTACGTGCACAAACTCATGCACATGGCGGACTTTGTCATGATCACGGAGGCTCACGGCTCGGAGATCTTCAACTCCACGTGGCATAAGCCACCCAACACCACGGCTTGGTGGTCGCAGGGGCCAACGCCAGGACACGCCGGAGTCGGTCTCATCATCCAGGACGCCTTCCTCCAGCAGTTCGAGCCGAATCCCGCATTCATCCACATCTGGCGCGGCCGCGCGGCCGTTCTTCGCCTCCGCGGCCCCTCCGGCGCCTTGGACGTGGTGGTCGGATATTTCCACGCGGGCTCGACGAATGCGCTGTCTGAGCACGACGTGAGCGGCGTCCCAGAGTACTTGCTACCTTCCATCACATCCTTCCCGGAGCTTCGCCGCCTCTTGCGCTCCCGCATCGCCAACAAGCTCTCCAAGCAGGGCGACGTGCTCACATTGTTCGGCGGAGACTTTAATTACGTATCCTCCGAGCTCGACCGGATCTCTCTGACGTCAGCGCAGGCTACTGGTCGTAAAGACCGGGGCGAAGAGAAACATGTCCAGGAGATTTTGGGCGCGAAGTTCGGACTCGTGGACATGTGCCAGGGCGACTGAACGCACGCCTCCGGCACCTCGCGGGCTCGTCTCGACCGGATCTACTGGAACCAGCACGCTTCGGAACAACTTGATCGGCATCTCCGGTCCTCGGTGCTCGAATGGCCGCGGGAGCTATCACATCACATGGCAGTGTCATTCTCCCGCTGCGCCCCGCAGAAACAACCAGGGGCAGAGAGCGCTTTGTCGTTGAGGGCCATATTGCACCATGATTTTCCACGCCGCCTGGCGCTGGAGTACCGCGACTCTGCGAAGCACCTTCACAATCCAAGTGCCCTCAAGAAGCTGCTGCACTACAAACGCTGTATGAAAACGGTGGCGGCTAACATCGACAAGGAGTTCCAAACGCCAGAGCGAGCTTTCAGCCTCGAGGGTAGGATTGGCGTCACAATGAAGTTCATTCGTGCGGTGGAGAACGGCTTCGTTAACAGCATCTCGGATTCCTTGTTGTGGTACCCGCTCCTGAAGGACATCGTAGGCAACCCCTGCGCCCTCGACCGGAACAACTCCCGCCACCTCCGCCCGGCCAGGGACCATGCGATTGAGCTCGCACGGGAACACGCTCTCGATGAGTTGGGCAAGTCCCACAAAGACCTGACCTCAGGGCACACCCAGCGCGCCATGCAGGCCAGGCAGCGGAACGCGAGGCTCATCTACACGATTACCCCGGGTCGTTCCTGCAGCGTCGGCGCCGTCGTGGACGCCGCCGGGGAGATCCAGGTCACGCCGGACAGGATGGCTGCCGTCCTCCGCGAGCATTGGTCGAAGATTTTCATGGCTCACGGCATCGACGACGCCCTGCTGGAGAAGTGGCTGGACGACGACATGGACAGCAAACCGGCCAGTGAGCTGCAGCCCTTCCCCCGCGAAGAGTTCAGGTTCAAGAAAAAGCACATCCGCTACGCCATCTTGAATGCCAAGACCCCGGCCCCGACGGGATTCCGTTCCGGGCTTGGTCGCGGGTTCCGGGCCTGCCCGCGGACATCCTCCACGAGGCGGCCAAGGCGCTGCGTGGCGACGAGGGCACGGAACTCATGGAGGCGGACAACGAGGACTTCAACGTCTGTCTCCTCTTGTTTCTCCCGAAGAAGGCGTCGGACACTTGCCCGACTGGCGAGGGCTACTACGAGGCCGCGAACGTTCGCCCGCTGAACGTGACGAACACCGACAATCGGCTGCTCGCCAACGCCGTCCGCATGGCGATCGAGAAGTGCATCGGCTCCAGGGCTTCTGCTTTCCAGCGGGGGTTCATTGGGGGCCGCCCCCTCCTCGCCAACCTGGTCGACGTTGAGGAAGCGATGGCGCTAGGCGCCTGTGAGTCCGAGGACGCCGCGGCCATGTTCTTCGACTTCGCGGCGGCCTTCCCGTTCATTGAGCACGTCTTCGTGAAAGAGGTATTCTGGAAGTTGGGCTGGCCGCCGTGGCTACTCAACTTCATCGACATGTTGTACGCGAGGAACCAGTGCGTCATCGTCCTGGGCGGCCCCCCGGCATCGGGGCTTCGACGTCGCCAGGGGCATCCGACGAGGCTGCCCTCTATCCCCGCTCCTGTTTGCCGTGGCCTCCAATTTACTGCTGCGCACAATGCTGCGAAAGATCCCCGGTGGCGCTCTCAGAGCTTATGCGGGCGGCACGGCGTACGTGCACGGGGACATCTGGGTACATGTCTCTTCTTTGGAAAACGTATTCAGCGAGTATGGGCGTATCTCGGGTCTGGCGCTCAACGTCGGCAAGACGGTTCTGGTGCCTTTGGCCCCATTCGACGCCCAGGCCGTCCGGGAGCGCCTGCGCAGCGTCAACCCCGCATGGGGCGGCCTGGAGATCAGCTCTAAAGCCAAATACCTGGGATTCGTGGTGGGCCCGGGCCGGGAGGGGCTGTCCTGGCGCGCGCCGTTCGACAAATACGCGGCCAGAGCGAAATTTTGGGGAGCAGTCGGCCTGGGCATGATGCACACGCTGGACGCGCACTCGGTCTTCATAGCGCCCGTGCTCTCATTCATCTCCCAACTGGACCCGCTGCCACCGCCCTTCGGGGACGTCGAGGCCGAGGTCTGTCAGCTTCTGTTCCCGGGCCCCTCGGAGTGGATGTCGGCCAGCTGTTTGAAATCGCTCAAGTGGTTTTTTTGTCCGAAGGATCTGTTCGACGTCCACTGGTCGGCCGCGGCGGCGCGGGCGCGCGCGGCGCTGTTCGAGGGCGCGGCGAACGGAGGCCTTCGAGTCCAGATGCGGGCCAAGGCGTTCTGGCAGGCGATCAGCTGGCCGAGGAACGCCGCCCTCGCGGCCTGCATGATTCCCTGGCTGTCCCGAAACTTCTTGTTCTCATTATCCGACGCCGTCGACCAAGTCCAGTCCAGGGGGCGACACCTTCACGTTGAAGCGTCGGTGCTGCGCCGCGACGGCCATGCAGTCCAGGGGCGCGAGGGCCGGCAGGCCCGGGCGAGGGAGCTTTTCAATCCACGCGGCGAGGGCCTGGCCAGAGCGAGCGCACACCCGGGCCCGCCTCGACCGGCGGCGTTCCCCGCCCCTGCCCGGTCACCGAGTCCACAGATGGCTCAGCACTTTACGAGCTACGTCAGCCTGGCTACCGCCGAAAGTGAAAGCTTGCCAATTGCGGACGGCGTTCAACGGTTGGCTGACGAGCCGTCGAATGCAAGGCACCGGCAAGTGCATATTGGGATGCAGGGCCGAAGACAGCATCGAGTACTATGCCTTCTGCCAGTCGTTCCACCACGCGTGCAGCCGGAAACTGATCTTGCGCAAGCCACCTCCTGACCTGAGTGTTGCCTCGATGATTTTCTGGGCATTGCTCCACATACCGCTGAACCCTATCAGGCTCCAGCCATGGCAGCGGCGGCCAGAGCCATTGCAGTGTATGCCTTGTGCAGGACGCACAACGCCATCCGGCACGGCGCTGGCTCTACCGCAAGTGCAGAGCTCTTCATTGGTTTTCTACGCGAGGCTACTCGCGGCCACGCGAAAGCTCTGGGCCTCGTGGCTTCCGCCTTCAAGCGACCACGCCCCGAGTGAGGGCGGCCTGCGTTTTTTCCATGTATTTCCCTCCCTCCCCCTCGTCGCCTCCCGTGGAAGAGTCGGTTCGTCAGAACCGAAATTCGTGACATTTTCGTTGCCGTGCTGCGCGGTGCGTGCGGAATGGCAATGCACGGCATAATGCATCTGGCCACCATTCGGTGTGTAGGCATGAGTAGGTTGGCTCCTGTGACTCCTGGTGGCCATCGTGGGCCCTTGCAGGACTAACAATCCAGTTAAGTGGATAGCGTTTTTTAGCAAGGTGCTGCCCCAGAATCCCCGCCACTGCTTAGGAGAACAAGGATTTGCATTAGGAGCCCTCGAAGCACTCTGACAGACAGTGTGCTCAGAATGTTCCGGCGGTGCCTCTCCGGAACATTATGGTGACAATCCGTGCCCGTGAAATTCCAGGGGATGCCAGCCCATCCTGGGTAAGTGGGCCATTTTGTGTAGGAGTTGCCCCCACGGCGACCGTGTAGATTGCCACAGCGATTGCTTTCAATGCCATCTCTGTAAGTCGTTTTCGGTTGCCTCGGACCCCCCTCTCTCCTCTCTTTCCTCCCGCGCTCGCTTCCTGGCGGCGGAGCTTAGGCTTACCCTGCTGGGGCAGGCCTGCTCTCTCCTCCTCTGCCTGCTCCCCCTCTCTCCCCTCAGTTGGCCAGTGCCCGCGCGGCCACCGGGGCTCACTGCTTCGAGGGTGGCCGGCGGGTCGGGCGGGGCCCGGGAGACAATTCAGCGGCTGCCACCTTGCGGGAGGTAGCATCCACGTTCGCCAGGCCATTGTTTTGGTCGGCGCTGTCTGCGAGGCTCCGCGATGGGGGGGCTCGCCGCGCCTGTTCCCTGGCTCTTGCGCCACTCCCTCTTAGGTCGTTGTTTTTTTGCGGGCATGGTCAGCCCTCTTAGCTTGCCTCCTCCCCCCGCCTCGGTGATTGCTACTTCATCTGGTCGAGCTGCCGCCTGGCCGTTCGACGTTCGAGGGCGTGCAGGTTTGCGTGGTGATTCACGGAGCTTCGTGTGGCGCCCTAGCTTTGTATACTACCCTAGCTTGCTTGTTGTTTTCCCCCTCCTTCCTCCTCCTCCTCGTGCTTTGCCCGTGCGCTCCTCCTCCCCTTGCCCCTCCCAACTCTTGCGCTGTTGGACACTGTAATTTGCACTGGCACTCTCGGTTTCAAAATTGTGCATTAATTTTCCTGCCCGGGCCCGGGGCTATTGCTCATTTTGGGGTGCCCGTGCCTCCTGGCCCTCCTGTTTTCCCCCTCCCTGCACGAGTTTGCCGCCAGAGTTTCGGCCAGGTTCGCAGGACAACCCTGCTGCGTGTGCGTGGTGTTCACGTTTGGTGTCCGCTCCCTTCTTCTCCCTCAAAGAAAATGCCTGCGTGCATTGCAGTGCCTGTGTACACTACGGCGCTTGTGTGCACCACAGCAACCGTGTGAAACACAGCACCACTATTGTATGTAGAATGTTTGAAGGCATCATTATGACAAAATGGAGCGTTTCTGGATTCCACCGAAAACACAAGAAAATCATCCTTATGGACAAGGGAACGCCAAAGGAATCTACGAGTCCTTCCGAGTTCGCCCGCACCACCGTAACTCCTCCCATCTGTGTCCACGAGGCTCAAGCTAAATTGGCCGTCGGAGAACCAAGTGGGCCGATTCAATAGAACATTCTGCGGTGCACACTGAATTGCGCACGTGTGCTGCAGCGCCAACCCGCACGACAGGGGGTAAGGAGGAGGAGGAGGAGGAGGAGGAGGAAGAGAAAAAGGACGAGGAGGAGGAGGAGGGGGAGGAGGAGGAGGAAGATGAGGAGGAGGAGGAGGAGGAGGAGGGGGAAGAGGTGGAAGTGGAGGAGAAGGGAAGAGGGAAAAACGTCGCATCCGATTATCAGCACTTTCCTGGCGTGGCGCTTCCGCAGCAGATCCTCACGTACAGGCTCCTTCTACCTGTCCTATGCACGCAGGCAGCGTGGTGTACAATAGCGCTGCGTTGCACGCGGATGCTGTGGTGTAGACAGGCGCTGTGGCGTGCACAGGCGCCGCGGTGCACGCAAGCATTGTGGTGTACACAGGCGCTGCGTTGCACATGGTTGCTTCCAGTGTGCACATGTACACCGGCGCTGAGCATAAAGAAATGCCCTCAAGGATGCACCCCAGAGGCTGCAAGGCCTTGGAAGGACCGATGTGCACCGCGAGCCCTCCTTGGCGGCGCACGCAGCGGGGTGGCGCGCCACCGGTGCGGCATTCTTGAATGGCTGGGCTTTCCTGGGGTCGCCATTCCAACCCTCCCCCCGCAACCCCCTTCAATGCCTACCCCCCCGCCCCCTTGTTACCCCCTTTGCCACCCCCCTCGAATCTACGGAGTGATCGGGGCAGATCCCCACTGGTCACAACCTACTCGGCCTTTGCAAAAGGCGGGGGGCTTCTGCGAGAAGGCATGGGCGAAGACTGGCCGCCCGCCCAAGTCTGCGCGCGGGCGCCCCCGCGGACGTCGCCGCTGCCGCCGCCGGAGCCCTTGCCGCCGTCGGCGGCGGCCTGCCCTGGCCCTTCGGCATGGCCCCGGGGCTCTCGATCCTCGAGCCTCGTTGCTCGATCTGGAAACGACGGGGCAGTCGTCATTGTGCCGTTTTCGTTTTCTCTGAGCTTGCCGTTTCCGGCGCCGTTTTCTTGTGTTACGTTCCCAGACCCTCTCGGGTAATGAAAAAATCATGACGGGAGGTTTTGTTATTTTCGGCTTGGGGGGGCCCTTACCGGCCCTCGGGGAGGAGGGGGAGGAGGACAAGCTAGGTGCGCTCGCGTCAACATCTGACATCCTACCCCTCCCTCCCATCCCTTCCCATTGAGCTACTTCATTGTCCTCTCACCGAATCGGGCTTCGCATCTGACCCTGTTACCTAAGAGGGAAAGGAGGAGGACGACGGCGCGATGAAAACGAAGACGACGACGACGACGACGACGACGACGACGACGACAAACACGACGACGACGACGACGGCGGCGACGACGACGACGACGACGATGAGGACG